GGGTCCCTCGTGCAGGGAAACCTGCTCTTGGAACCCCCAAAATCCCCTGCTGTGCTCTGAGCCTGCGGTCCCTGGGTAGCAGGTCCACTGGGGCACCCTGACCTCCTGCCTTACCCAGCAAACACCTTCAGTGGGACACCAAACAGGACGGGGGGGCCCCCTCTACCAATCACCCCTTCCACACACAAGAGCCTCCAGGCAACCCACAGATTGGCTCTTCTTTGGCTCCCCTGCCCCTAGCCCCCCTAACTCTGCCAGTCCTTTGAGGAAGGCTCTAGAATCGTGACCCATCCTCTCCCCCGACCCCACACGGACCCTCTGGGGACACTCCAGATCCGCGACCTTTCCTCACCCTCCTACTCCCGAACCCTGTGTTCCTCCCCAGTCCTTCCAGGAAGGCTCCAGAACTGCAGCCACTTCTCTCCCCTCACCCCACCCTTACCCTCTGGGCTCACCTCAAAACCAGGGCCCCTTCTCTCTACCCTAAACCTTCTGGCAACCCCGTTTACCCCCACCGTGACCTCCCTGGGAGGGGCGGGAGAAAAACCCGGGGAATCCTCCTTCCGGAGCACCCCGAAGAGCCCAAAAAGGGGGAGCCCCGCCCCAAATTCAGAGGCCCTGTCTCACGTTCCCCTCGCAAGGACCCTGTCCCCGCACCCCTGCCCGCGCGGTGTCCCGCGAGCTCGGTGCCCTGCAAGCGCCCGCACCAGTGCCTCGGCCTCGTGCCGGGCGGCAGCGGCCGCCGGGGCATGGGCGAGCCATGGCGTCCGCACCGGTCGCTAATGGCAACTGGCGGGCGCCGCTTGCCGCCCCCCTGGCCGGAGCGCGAGGACTCGCCGCGGGCGGCTCTGCTGCCTCCTGGCGGCGCGGAGAACCGGGGGACCCACGGGGGACAACGCGCGGTTGGGGGACACGGGGGACACGCCGGGGTCCGGTGCGGGCCGCCCCCGCCGTCACTTCCAGCACACGATGATGTTGGGGTCGTTCTCCAGGCGCTCATCCAGCTCCTTGTAACTCATGCCTGGAGGGGAAGGCAGCGCGTGTTAGTGGGGTGTCAGTGGGGCGCCCGGCACTGGTGTCAGGGGGGCTGGGTGGGCTCCCCAACCCTGCCCCTGGCACCATGGGCTCGGCAGCCCGGCTTGGCACAGAGCCTCACCCACAGTCCCATCTCCCTGGGGTCTGAGGGCTCCCAAAGGGTGAGATCCCCAAACCAGCATACAGTCCTGGGCAGGCAGATGTTCCTGTGTCTCCCGCCAGCCCCGGGGCCCGCGTGGAGCCTGGATCCGTACCGGTCTTGCAGCAGATCTCGTCGTAGCTGTGGCAGCCTGTGTACAGCCGGGCCGGGTGGCTCCGCTCGTCCCGCGTGACCTTCACGGGGTATTTCTGGAGCCTCCGGATAAGGCCCTTCATCAAACCAAACTGGATAAGCCTCCTGGGGACGAGGAGGGAAGAGACTGGGACCACAGTCCTGGGGTGCCAAACACCCCGACTCCCTGCAGTCCCTTCTGGTTCCACCATGCCCCATCAATGCCTCATGTTTTCTACCCTAGAGACGCAGGGATTGGCTACTCCCTGCTTGCTCCCCCACACTGTCCCTGCCACCCCTGGTGTCACCACTGCCCTTGGGGACTGGGCAGGAGGGCTCAGACCTCTCGTCCACCCTCTGGAGCTGCACGGTGTAGCGGGAGATGAGGTCTCTCACGGTGGTGCCAGGGCTCAGCCCGCAGTACAGCTGGAAGACATCCCTGAGGCTGGCTCGCTTGTGCCCTGCAGAGACAAGTCACCAGTTAGCTGCCCCGTCCCCCTGCATGACTCCCTGTCTGCCAGCAGCCCCAGGTGGGGTCACTGTACCTTGCTTGGTGACATAGGACAAACACTCTTCCTGGAGACACTTGTCATCCACCAGGTCCTGGACTTTTGGAGTGGTGCAGTAGACATTGGAGTACTGGAGGGTGAGGGAAAACCAGCTCTGTTCAGCTGTGACTCCAAGAGACAGACCCAGCCCACTCCCACCCTGTTGTCCCCCCAACACAGCCACTCCAATGGCACAGCCACGCCCAAATCCTGCTCACAGTACCACGGCCTGACCCACCTGGAGTATGGAGACAAGCGTGACAACCCCATAGTACCTGCAGATGGACAGGGAGATGTGAGAAACCTTCTCTGCCAGCCCCCACCCACCTCCTCGAGCTGTCCAGGCCCCTCCAGGCACTCACAGCAGGTTCTGCACGGCGATCCGCACCAGGTTCAGCTCCACGTCGGCTTCTGCGGAAATCTTCTGGACGTGCCGAAAGCCGTCTATGTAGGGCAGGATCTGGGAGGGGAGGAGGCAAGAGCTAAGAGGGGAGAGATCAGAGAGGCCCCAGGCATCACCCTGAAGCCCAAGAACCTCCTCTTTGTCTGGGCAGCTCCATCCCCAGCAGTGCTTTATGCTCATGCTGGGTGAATGGTTTGCTCGCAGCACAAAGACCAGAAGGGCACCAAACTCTGCTCATTATTGTGGCGATCTCCAGGACAGCCCAACTGCCCAGGCAGTCTGGAAACATCTCCCTTTCAATGCCTGCTGCCATGGTAAAGCACACAGACCTGCTGCGTGGTGAGATCCCACTGGGAGTTGAAGAAGTCATCCTTGTCTTGGGTGAAGACGGGGACATCGTACTCCTGCACGATGGGGGGGTCTGGGCGCTGCTCGATCACCTTCAGGTGGATGGTGTTGGACTCATCTGCCCAGGAAAAGGGAAAGGCTCAATCCCCATGGAAACCTGTGCTCCCTCTGGAGCTCACAACCATCAGCCCCAGGAAAAGGGAAAGGCTCAATCCCCATGGAAACCTGTGCTCCCTTTGGAGCTCACAACCATCAGCCCCAGGACACCACGATGCCACATGGAACAAGGTGTTTACAGCCCATTAACCCCATCCCACCCATCCCTCTGGGCTACCCAGGGCAAGGCTGGCTCAGACACCCCCAGCTCCAAGCACAGACAGGCAGGGAGCTTCTGGGAGCAGCACAGGCAGAGCAGACCCAGGCAGGGGATGGCCCAGCTGCCCCCCCCAGCACCACCCAGCCCTGCTCCTGGGCCAGCACAGCTGCCATACCTATGGGCAGGGTGCACTTCCCTTTGGCATTCAGCTCCTCCAGCAGGATGGTCATGATGGGGACCAGCTTCTGTTTACTCTCCTCGTTGGAGATGAAGCCACTTTCCAGCTAGAAAGAGCAGAAAACCGCGTCAGCTCCTCCAGCAGGCTATAGGAATCAGGATCCCCTTCTCCCTTAAAATTCAAGTGATCTTAAAGTTGGTAAAACCAGTACAATGCCCTTCCCAGCAATGCCCAGTACCCCATGATGTGCTCCAGGACACCAGTGGGGTGTCCACACCCTGTGGGGAGGATCGGGAGGCAGCCAGGCTTGAGTTTCACCTCGAGGGTGGTGAGGTAGCCAGCCAGCTTCTTCACAATGGGCTCCAGGGCACAGGCCTTGGCTCTGGCGTCGCACACGAAGCCCAGGTTGAAGAGCAGAGCGTTCCTGCTGTACTTCTTGTGCTCGATGCACACGGGGCAGCCGATCAGCTTCTTCTCCATGGCTGTCCTGCAGGAAGACACATAAAACCTGCACCCACAGCCTCGGGGAGATCTCAGCCCTGCACAAGGACAGCTCCTGGTTGGCTGTGGAGGTGGGGGCTTCTCTAGTTTGCAGGAAATACGATGGCTAATCCCTCCACGCTAAGAGTGCAAAACACACTCTGAAGAAGGGGGAGGAAGAGTCAGTCATCGGAGAAGAAAACAGTTTCCCTTCAAAAGCAGCACAGCTCTCCTGACTCGTTTGGCTTCCCTGGATTCGAGGCTGACGGAGCAGCACACGCAGCACCAGCCACCCCCAAATCAGACACCCACCCCTGCACGGTACCTGCAGGCACGGCAGTGACCCTGCTGGCCACGGGGACAGCACCCCCTGAGACCTGGCACTGTCACAGCACCGCGATGTCACCCCCACCCAGCGGGGAAGGGACCGGGGCTCTGCACTCACACGGTGATCAGCTTGTTCTGCAGCTCGGGCTTCGTGATCACGTACACCTGGATGGTGTCGAACAGCTCCCGGGAGATGAAATCCTCCGGGACCTGCGGAGGTACAGGAGACTCCGTTCCAGCCGAACCCCGGGGAGCAGCCGCCACCGCTGTCCCTGTCCCCATTTCTCCCCCATGGGCGCTCCCGTGCCCTAGTCCCAGCCCGCCCGCTCCCGGCCCCTCGCCCCGCACCTGGTAGGTGATCTTGGGCCCCAGCGTGGGGTGGAACTCGCTGAAGAACACGCACTCGATCCGCCCGCCCATGGCGGCACCGCAGCG